ATACTGACATCAAAGAGCAGCTGACTCCGCCAGCCACGTCGGCTGAGAGCATCCCTCCACCGCCGTGGGGCGGGAGGGAATGCTGGTGCCGAGCGGGGCCGGGGGGAGCTGCCCTCCTCGAGTGGGAGGGGGCTGCCAGCGTCCCTTCACATCACCTCCCCATGCCGCCCCCGAAGGGATGGCTGGGATCTGCGCCCTCCCAGTTACAGCCAGCCTGTGCTCGCTATCGTCGGTAGGAGAGGAATAGCAGATTTTATCTTTTAAGTAGCTCTGATCCCCTGCCTTCAGTGTGTATCTTTCTCTCTTGCAGAGACACATGCGCTTTTCATCCCTGAGTCACGGGCACATCCCCACTAGTGGGGTTGGGGGATGTCAAGACACCAAATTATCCACTGAAAACTGTTGCTTTGACCCTCAGACCCCTCTAACTCTAATTCCAACCTGAGACACTTCACTTGTAATTAATTCTCTGCTGTTTTCTGCTGTTCCACTTCTTGCCACAGCTCATTTGCTTCCTGGCTCCAGAAATTAGCTCTATTGCTAGTTCAGATTTTATTTGTGTTCTGTGTTTTTGGCCTTAAAAATACTAGGCAAGAATCCCCCTTGGGTTTTGAGAAACTGCTTTGCTCTTTTTCTATGCCTTGCCAGAGCAGTAGCCTGCTCTTTTCTGTGGCTTTGAGCTGATGATTTTGTTGCGCTTCTTGCCCGCTGTGTATACATGAGTTGGGTTCCTCCATTACGGTTTGATAAACCCCGTGTTACCAGGGCGAAAGGATCATTCTGTACCTCTGAGCATTTCCTGCACTGAAAGGGCATGGTATCGTGTCAGAAGTCTGCAAGAAAACCAGCAGCAACAGGCAGCTTTTTCTCTGTGTCTGAGTGCAGTGTAGGGGATTGGGTTTGCTTCATAAAAAGTACATCTGTCTGTCTGGAAATCTCCCTTGCTTCTGTCTCGTTCTCTGTAGTTGCAAAGGCTGGCACCAACTGTAGGGGCCATTTTTTGGAGCTTCATAAGGCTGTATCGGTCAGGACTAGAAGTAATCTGTACCATTAAAAATGAGGTCCAGCACACATACCAGCAACAATCCCAGCATGGGCTGTAAGCCAGACTTGGCAGCAGCATTTTCAGTGTGGGCCTTTTACTGTGCACGCCAAAGGAGTTCATCATTATTAGGTCGTCCACCAGCGGTAGGCAGAAATCTGGAGCACGCTTCACCCGAGCATGGTAGCTCTTAGGAACTGGAGACAGGCTGGGGCCAATTTGGCTGCTGTGCTGTGAGGTTTTTGCTGAGTCTCTGGAATTGCCTCAGTCAGTGATTTGCCCAAGAGGTTTTTCCCTGGCAGATATCTATGGTGTATAAGACAGTTTTGAACCTGCACAATTTGGTGCCTTCCTGTAATTTTGCTTCATCTAGTCTTGAAGTACAGAGTATGAGTGTTTGCATGGGAAACTGGTGGGCAGTTGCTGTTCCAAACATTTTCCCTGCATCGACAAGCTCCTGCTCACTTTCCCTGGAGAGGAACTAGCTATCTTATAGCTTTCAAAGAAAGAACCTGACATTTAAATTTAGCCATTTCCAAAGCACAGCATTATTTTTAATTTGCAATCTCAAATATTGTTGTTCGCTTAGAAACTGCCTTGCATTTGAGGGAGCTGTAATTCCTTCTCCTCAGCTGTAGGGGCATGATAAACCACAGCTGCTCCACCCCTGATGCACACATCAGAGCTGCAACGACAAAGCCGTGCTCAGCACTTGTCACTGCACAGCATGGTTATGTGACTGTTTTATTACTGGGCTTTTATATTCAGGCTTTGACAAGGTTTGATTCTCCCTTTTCGCTCTGTCAATGATCTATGGAAGGTCTTGCCCCAAAGAGGGGCTGGGCTCTGTAAAACCAGCCCCGCCAAGTTGAAGGGGTAGAGAGAAGCAGAGGAATATGAACGGCAGCGACTGGTGATGCACAGCCTGGCTGTGCACAGAGCTCGCTGTTGCCAGGAGGAGCAGGTACAGTAATCGGCTCGTTATCTGGCTGAACACTTGAGGAGAGCGTCTCTCTGAAGGACTAGTTCTGTCAGCGCTCATCTACTGGAAACTGCAGCAGGGACGAGCTCTCCAGGGACCTTGGGATATAGCCGAGGAGTTGTACTAACCACTCCATGTGATTACAGGGAAGATTGAGGCACTAACCCCTTGAAAACATATCTTAAAAGACAGATATAGTTAATTAACATTTAAGCAAGGAACTGCCATCTCGACAGCCTCATGATGTAGATAAAGGTGTGGAAATGGAGCTCAGCCCGCGACCATAAAAGAAAAAAAATTGCTTCTTCCTACAAGCTTGGCATCACCCCTGCCTTAGACCAGCCTGTCTGCAACGCCGCTGTTAGGAAGAAAGATAGTAAACTTCCAAAGCTGCTGCTAGGCAAATTCTGCAACTGGGGAATGAATCTGGCTGGTCCAGCAGTGGCTTAACCCTGAAAGGCTCTTGCATTTCAGCAAGGAGTTATATTTCCCGCGTCTGTCCCAGCTGGAGATCCCGTCTTACGCAACACGAGTAGAACCACAGCGTCCCATGGGGCAGAATGCAGCGCCGGCTTCTGTTACTGCGCTACTGAAACCATTTCCCCAGCTCATTTCACCAAATAATTTCTCATAAAATGGAGACTTTCGCATTTGCTAAATATTTATTTAGCACCTAGCTACTACTCTGATTTGCACTCTGGAGAGAGGAGCCTTCACTAAAAGCCAAGTTGCAAATCCCTGCCTCTAACTCACTGGTCTGCTTATTCACAACTCCAGACTTACAGAAGAGGCCTCTGCATTTTTATTGCTTAGCTCTTTGTCTGTCTTCATGTTGATCATATGCCTAATGGGTGAAGTTTCACCCTCGCAGCGGCCTTAGGGGTGGGGATGATTTCCTTCAGGATGCGTTAGACGTGGTGCATCGACCCTCCATGCTGGCTGAGTACTTGAATATTGTTGTCTCTGTCCGAGAGCTGCACATCAGTCTCACGCCTTTTCAGGCAGGATTGGTAAAGTAATTTCCAACTACTGATCTGTTTTCCCTCCCTTTATATTGGAAAATGAGTCTTTGTTATCATTTCTCACCTGCAGGGAAGGAAAATGTCATGTGGCAAAGTTAAATAATTTCCCTAAAACCACATGCTGAGCTTGAGGTCAAAAATTGACAGGAATTCTCTCTACAGCAGCGCTGGCTTAGGCAGCATCTTATCCATCTTTCTGCAATGATTATCCCAGCACAACTGTTTGTGTCCCCGCAGAGGGATGTGTGCTGAATGTAATCATTTGATTAAAAAAACCCAAACCAAACAAAACCAAACCACAGAAAACCCCAAGGTTTGAAGGAGTAGCTTTGTCAAGGCAACTTGATGGTGACTCAGGCCTTGCTGTCATCGATCTGGATGTGCGCTGTATGTACAGTCTGGCTGGTGGGAAAGAAGTTGCTGTCATGTCTCAATGCCTGATTCGATGCAGATCAGTGCTCCCGTGCGGTCCGGTACTGCCCCGAGCTGGCATTAATGAACACGGAGCCGTGGCCTGAGACTGAGCTGTGAGCAGAGCCCCGATTTCCCACCTCCCGGACTCTGCTCTCCCTTACACGTGTGCGTCTCTAACGAACGCAGCAGGACGAATTCCCTTTCTCCGCTGCTCGATAGCCACACGTGGCTTTACAGGAATACTTAGCTAAACAATCATCTAAACCCTCTTGTTATCCACACTGGATTTCTAATTAATTAGCACAAAGTCGGCATTTATCTGGAACCAGATGACCACTGCCTCTCTCCCCGCAGCCTTCCTGCCCCTGACGTGACAGGTCTGAGCTGCCTGGTCAGTCCTGGCTCGTTCCAGTCCTACGCTGCTGCTTCGGGGTTTTAGCCTTCAGCCTCTGCCCATCCCGGTTGCTCGCAGCGAGCCAAAGGCCAGGGCAGGAGCCTTCTGTGGTTTTGTTTTCATTGCTAAAGGTTAGAGGATCCCAGAGACAAAAGCGCGGCCAAAAATAACAAGAAGGGGCCCAGCAGGGCTTGCCCTGTGACGGGGAAGCCGAGAGGCTGACGGGCTCCACGGCTGCCTGCGGCTGCTGTGCTGCGGTCGGGGATGGGACGTGTGCTCGGGGAAGCGGGCAGATCCTGTTGGCAGACGTAGGAAGCTGCCGGCGGCTCTCGGCATCTGCCAGAAAGAGCCAGGAGCCCCCAGGGAGGCGAATCTTGCTGCAGGGTACGGGGTTAGTCACCGTGCTTCTCTTTCACAAGAACGGGCATCGGCGCAAGGAGGAGGTGGCTGTGACCTCCATTCCTTCTGACTCTGAACAGGGGGAGGAAAGTTTTGGCTGAGATCTGTGGCTTGCGGATAAGCGCACGGGGCTCAAGAGGAGGCGGAGCAGGAGGATTGATGCAGGGGGGTCAGTGACCGAGAACAGCCGTCTGCCCAACCCAAAATGAGCGCTCTGCCACCCTGTTCAATGAGAATGGTGTTGAATTTGGAAATGGAAATTACAGATCTGAGATGAAGCAAAACTAAAAATCCTGAGAGGTTCAAGTCAGGGAGACGAGATAAACTCCAGTCGATGCCTGCAAAGAGCTGTCACATGAAATTGCAAATCCAAGTGTGAGGATTTATGACAGAGCTATCAAAAAAAAGAGGTGGTGTTTTATAACCAGAGACTGCAATCCTGCTGCCTGATTCTGAGCAGGGGCAGGGGGGAGGAAAGCAGTAATAGCTGATTTTTGAGCTGCGGTACATTGAATCTACCTAAAGTCCTGTAAAGCGTTCAATACAGCATCTCCCAGGGAATTCTTAGGTTGGAGAAGATGTGGAGGAGCACAAAACCTGTAAAATTAATAAGGAATAAATCACAAGTGAGACTGAAGTCTTGTGTTGAGAGGGGGGCTGTTGGCGGTGGTAGCACGGGATGGGAAACCCTCATGACGTGGACCTGTGGGCCCCAGGAAAAGCTCTGCTCGCTTCGGCAGTCGGGTCGCTGGAGCAGCCAGATGTTTTTCCTCGCCGCGTCCCCCTGGCGAATCAGCCATCTGTGCCCCGTGCTGCCGCTGGGAGCGGGGACGGCTGCCGGGGTTGGAGGCAATGGCTGAGGGCACTGGAAGAGGTGGGAACCTTTTAAAATGATAATGAAAAAGTAAGATGATGCTCACTTATGAAAACAATAATTGGTAAACCACTTAGCCCCTTGGGCTGTTAAATGCTAAGAGCAGAGACAGATGTTCCAGCAATCAGCATTTGTTATCAGCTGGGAGTTCATTAGTTGGAAAGACGGGAGAGGAGCAAGACGTGGGTTCGGTGTGAGCTCCCTGCTTAACGTGGCTCAAACAAAGGCAAATGTGAATCTCAGCGGGACGGGGCGAGATGTTTCCCTGCCAGGATTTACTGTTGTTGTGTATGGCGGGGGCGAGGCTTCCTCTGGAAACCTGCGTGGATTTTCAGTCTTTTGTGTCTAGGTCTACACAGAAAGTCGAGCTGCAGAAGGACAAAGCAGGTCAGGGCAGAGCTGGGGCGCAGGGAGGTGCCTGGGGTGGTGCTGGGGACGGGCAGACCCGGTACGACATCCAGTTTTGCAGGTCAAGCTCACAGAACAAGGTGTTTTCCGACATGGTGCTTTCTTTCAGACTTGATGCAGGTTTCGGGAGAAGGGTTAAACAAGCCAGAAGTTGGCCATTTTGCTGGTTGCCTTAAAATATTTGGAGAGAGTTCATCTGGATAAAAATCAGCCCCAAATGTTATTTTTGATTGACTCAGTTCCCGGAGGGTTTTGCGGCAGGAGAGGAGGCAGATACATCAGCGCGATGCTTTCTAAATGTCCCAGTTTGCCAGTGGTCCTCTTTCTCTCCTCTCCCCCTGATTTTTCCTGCTGTGTGAGAAGGGCTGTTGGTCTCGAAGGCAACGGAGATATTTCTACTGCCTCCTGCCCCGGGTTATTCCTCTACGCAAAGGCCCCTTCCCACATCTTGAGCCCTGTGGTTCAGTGCACTCGGATCCTCTTCCCGCTGATGCCACACACAGCAGCCTTGCTCATGCCTGTTTTTTTCCTCTATGCCTTATTTTCCAGACTGGGATGACAGTGCCTTTGTAAAGCAAACTGAAACGTATTGTGCTATGTTTTGTATAAGAGCATGTGCGTGTGTATGAATCCGGGCTGCTGAGGCTGCAGCCGGGGTTGTCAGCAGACCCAAGAAACCAGACCTATCTCTAGGTCCAGGTTTCTTTCCCGTCAGAAAAACATAGTTAATTAAAGCCTTCTCCTGAAAGGAATTTCTTAGCCATGCTACAGGAATAACAAAGTGAAAGCCATGTCCTTAATCCTGTCCTTTCATCTCCTGGAAATTCCTTCCTCTCCTGTCTCTTTCTCTGTGTCCTGATTGTTAAAAGAAATGAGAAATAATTTCCACTTGGAAAAAACCCAAGGCAACAAAACTCCAGCCCAGCTGATCGCAGCAGAAGCCAAGGAATTGGGAGCTGAAAGGAGGGAGCTGTTAATGAAGCATCAGCAGCGAGCCAGGGGCAGGAGCTGGAGCCCATCCAGATGGCACCGCTCATCCGCCACATCCACTTTGTATGCGCGTCCTCTCGGGGAAGAGCCCGGCCGAGCGGCCGCCCTCCGCAGCACTGGTCAGCCGCAGCCTCGCCCGTGGCCCCGGGAGGGGATTTGCCCGGGTTACTCCAGGCCTCCATCCAAATTCCCTCTGTGGATGAGGAGTGACATCTTCCCCGCTAAACGTCGAGGGAAAATGGAATCCCAGACTCTGGGTTTTGGCATTGTATTCCTGCAGGGATGCATCAGTGCCCCAGTTGCTGCTCTCCCTCCGGCCATCCCTGCCAGCATGGCTGGGAGGAAGGAGTGGAGGGTGCAGAGAAGCAGGGAACAACGGGAACGGAGGGAGCAACAGGAACGGGGAGCAGGGCTGCGTCGGCACGGCCCCGATGGCAGAGCGTGCTGTGGCTGGGCCGTCGACAGCTTCCCTTCATCCCCAGTCAACCCGGATATTCGTGTTTCCTGGCCTGACAGATAAGGCGGCCTCGCCATTAATCAGGAGGCCTGGAGAATGGGATCAACGCAAAGCAGGCGTGCTGCGGAGTTAATCTCCTTTACTCCCCAATGATTCGTGGAGCTCGTTGCAGGCATTAATCAAGTCTGTGTGTGTGCACCAGGCAAAATGGATTAGACACTGTGCCGTTGGCAGAGGTGCTCCCCCCATCCCTGGGCAATCCTGGAGCATGCCCGATGTGGTGGCGGTGCCGGCCGGGGCTGCGGCGCAGTGGTGTGGTGCAGGTGACGGAGGGATTACGGTTGCTGGATCCCGGGGAGAGCTGAGGTGTGCCCCCGCTTCTGCTCTGCAGCGCTGGCTGTGCCTCTCTCTGGGGACAGGGCTGGGAGGTGGGTCCTGTCCGTGGCTGGACTGCTCATCCGTGGAACCGCCTTCCCAATAACCTGCAGGGGTGGTTCCAGTTGCAACCCTACATCTCCAGCTCTGCAGCCACCAGACCTGCCTGTTACCCAGAGGAGACCCAGCTGCCTGTGTGGTGAAGCTCAGCTGGGAACGGAGCCGGAGCATCAGGCAGCAGAAATGACCTGCAAGCCCCTGGAGGCTCTGGGAAAGGGCTGTCCTGGGTAAGCAGGAGTAGGACCCACCGTCGGATCCCAGCCCTGGTCGCGGCTCTGCAGAAGCCCATGTAAAAGGTTCTTTTCTTCTGGTGGTGAGATCAGTGCGGGGCAGAGATGCGGGAGATCATGCCCCAGCTCCGAACTGTGCTGCAGGCTAGTTTGCACATTGTGGACTCGAGGAGCTGTGTCTTGAAGGCAAAGCAAGACTGTCGCAGACAGCATGAGAAAAATGCTCTTTGTCTGCTTCGGACTGGTGTTGGAGGTACGGGCCGGTGAAAATAACCCCGCGTCCTTGTCCTCCAAAGGGAGAAGCTCAGGCCTGAGGAAGCAGAGGGAAATGCCCGGCTCCCGGGCTGTGCTGTAGCACAGGTGTCGCACCACAGGGAGCAGGGTATGGGTTTCCATCTTAGCCGCTCCGCAGCACCTGCTTCTCCCTTAGAAATGAGCGGCTCGGGGTATTCCTGGTGGGGAGCCCTGAGCCCCGATCCCTATTGAAGCGATGCCGGTGGCCCGCACGCTCCCTGCCGTGCGGCAGCTGGAGGTTGCAATATTCACTGACAGCCAGCGAGTTGTGGTTTTCCGATGATTAATGACACCTCCCTCCTGACGGGAGCCATTCAGCCTCCGTGGTGCTGGATGATAACGGAGACAGAGTGGAAACTGGGTGTTTCCAGAGGGTAACGTCCAGCGCAGGGACTGTCGTGCTGGGGTTGCGAGTCGGTCTGTTCCCCTTGGGTTGATCCTGGAAGGGGACCCAGTTTCTGCAGGTGAATGTGCCTGAACTTCATTTCCAGGCTGGGTGCAAGTGGATGGGCAGAACCCAAGAGGTTTGTTAACAGACGTTTTCTTTCCCCCCCCACTGCCTTAAGTGCAAAGCCCAACTGACATCAAAGCAACAGAAAGTCTAATCCCGTTTTGAATTGGTGCGAGCACACGCAGCGAATGTTAAACAGGGAATCCGGCAGCAAAAAAAGGGAGGATTATCTTTAATTTCCTGAGAGAGGGACTGAGCAAGGGAGATGGAGAGAAAAGAAAGGCACAGGACCAGAAAGAAGTGTCGGTCGGCACAGGGAGGCTCGTGGAGGAGGAGGAAAGCAGGCGGACGGGGAGGATGGTGCGAGCAGCAGCAGCGCACGTGTGCCAGGAGAGGTGAGTCTGGCGGGAGCCGAGCGCTGGCACGTGGGAAGGCTGCTCCCACGGGGAGCCCCATGCCGGTGCCTGCCCAAGTTCCCACGCGGATGCTGGGAAAGGGATCGTGCGTAGGGTTTGCCATGCCAGGGCAGAGGTTGGTGCGGGCTGTAACTCCCAGCTCGCGCGTGTTCGAGCTGTGGCTGCGGAGTTGCTTTTCAAGGGAGCTCAGAGCTGGACTCCAGCGGAGCGACATAACCGTGGGCTGGTTACCTGAGGTCGCGTGTGTGGCGGGGATTTCTTTGCTGTAAAAGACCGTAGCTGAGCAGAGCTTCCTAAATCACCTCCAAAGCTCTGTTACCTGCTGGAGAGCTGACTCTAGGTACGGTTTATGTTGTACTCTGCCATCAGCAGGTACCACCAGCTCTGCAAAGGGCACGCACTGCTGCTTTTCATGCTACGGCTGATGTTCACCTTCGCGAGATGTATGGAGCTGTGTCCAGGTTCTAGCCTGGG